CTCATGTTGATGTCAAAGGAAGACTGGATTACCACATTTACTCACTCAGCAGTGCGCTGACGACCTTTACACAGTCGGTGACCCGCCCTGTAACTTTATCTGATCTGCCACTTTATGGTCGAGTTGCTGTGGTTCCTAAACACTTCCAGTTTGCAATAACACGACTTACAGTTGATGATAGAAGATCTAGAAAGCAACTGGCTTATTCCGACAGCGGCGTCAATGACAGCACCGGTCAGAAATTCATTCAACCCATCCTTTTCATGTTTGTAAAGGCACACTGCGTGATTTATTTATTCATTTAATTAATTTTGTTTTTCTGTGGCAGTTTGAAAACTCTTGAATTCAAATAGTATTGCAGAATAATTTTGTCCATATTCGGCGCAAAAGTCTTGAACCATCCTCATTTCTTTATATTTTGCTAGAAAAATGGGAAATGGATTCAGAAGTTTATTGAAATGTAGAAACAAATATGAAAATACAGCATTCAAGGCAAAAACAGAGTTTGTACAATTCTTGAAAGCCAGCATTTAAGGTGACCACCTTTATTATTCAACACAGTCTCTTAGGCAACCTTTATTGTCATTTCTTTAAGTAGTCTTCAGGAATAGTTCTCCAGGCTTCATGGAGGGCAGAGCTCTTCTTTGTTGGCTACCTTTTGTTCCATTCTCTGGCAACGTGATGGGAAATGGCATTGTTCTATAGAGCGTTTCTACTCTCCCAGAGTACTCAAACCGCTCCATATAACATGCCACATTCAAAGACCAAATAAATTCACCCAGTCACTTTTTTCTAAGCCTTTAGTGCAGGGGTAGGCAACTCCAGGCCTCGAATGCCGGTGTCCTGCAGGTTTTAGATGTGTCCTTGATCAAACAGCTGATTCAAATGGCTAAATTACCTCCTCAACATGTCTTGAAGTTCTCCAGGGGGCTGGTAATGAACTAATCATTTGATTCAGGTGTGTTGACCCAGGGTGCGATCTAAAACCTGCAGGACACCGGCACTCGAGGCCTGGCGTTGCCTTCCCCTGCTTTAGTGGTTCTTAACTAACATTCATGCACAACTTGGAGTTAGTATCTTGCCGAAGGATACTTGGCATGCAGACTGGAGGAGTCAGGAATCAAACCACTCTCCTTCTGATCAGTAGTTAAAGTGCTCTACCTCCTGAGCTACAGCCACACTTCACATCCATTATGATTAATAATGTTGAACTTCACACCCTGGGGAGGCCAAACCACGACTGAGGTATGCTTTTCCTGTTTCTTAAGGAGATGACTGTCAGGTACTGTTCATCTGCTCTGGAGTTTTTTTTTTTGTTTTTTTTTTTTTAGGCCTGCTACTAACTCTTCAATTTCTGTTCATGGTGTTTAGGGAAGAGGAAACAGAGAAAATGGGAAGTTAGGATTACTTTTATTTCTTTGAACAAATTCTGAATTTGAATATACAAATATCTGAAGGCAAGGGATGGGATTTTTGTGCAGGAAGCTTCTGGTTTGTGTTTGTATCAGCCAAACATGTTTGAGCTGCAGTCTAAAATGGAGGTGGAGTCTAACTGTGAGATAAGATCCTGTCAGAGGAAGGAGGTGAATGATATCGAGCAGCGTGACATGGACAGGCTGGGACTAGGTTTCAAGTTAATAAAGGTTCATATCCGAAGGTGAATTTTTGCTCCCTACTGAACTACAACAGAACACATCCACAATTCCCAGACAACTCATCACCTATATAAGCTAATATAGCCTTAAACCACAAAATACATATATCAGGGAGCGTGTGAGAGAGTCTGAGTTGGTTATTGTTGTTGTTGTTGTGCAATGAAACCCAACCATTTGATGAGCTGAGCTCACTTGGTTTTCATTAAATGTGTTTCAGATACTTTTTTTTCTAACTTGAGAAATTGAATAGCAGAATATTTTGCAACATGAAGACATTGTTTATTAAGAATTGTAAACCATATGGAGACATTAAGTTACAGTCAGCACAACAAATACAGTGTGTGTGTCTGTTTGTGCAGCATTCCTGGACTGTGGTTTATTTTCTCTCTGTGGGTTTAACAACAGTCTGTTAATAATTTTTCTGGCATCTGAGGTTAGGGATCGGGTTCAGCCTTTTCTTAGCTTCGGGACGTGCAGCTTAATGAAGAACCTTATTTTACCAGCACTGTTTAGTGTTATTATACATTAGATGAGAAGCTAAAGTGAACAGCGAACATTTAAAAAAAGAATACGTTTGAAAGTAGTTGACCTTTTGCAAAAAAGGAAAAAAAAAATCTGACCTGCATATTTTTAAAGGCTTTATTGAGCAGTCACATGTTTTTCCACACAGGCTCATCTGTGAGAGTGACAGGTGATGAATGCCTCATGTGAGTGTCACAGTTTTCAAGGATAAACATTCCCTCTTGAAGACTTTAAACTGGCATTGTAACTGAATTTTCAGCCACTTGGCAGCCATCTTGGCAATGCCTTTTGGCAGTTATTTGGGCAAAAGCCTCCCTGTTCTAAATGAATGGGAAGAAGGCTGCAGCTTTAAATCCACTTGTCACCTGGAAAAAAAAGTGCTTAAATAAAATCAAAGATCAAATTAGATTTTAAAAAATGCTTTAAACCTCCGTGGTGTAAATGAGCTTAACGCATTTAGTGCTTCATGTCCACTTTAATGGAGTGTTGATTTCTTTCCTCCTACTATCTAAGGAAGCTTCATTGGGGGAAAAACTGTCTAAATCCCCTTTTCCTCACTAACCTCTGACCTCCTCGTGGCACACAAGAAAGCCAGTGGATGACGAACGCTGAGTGAAATCTGCTGCGGTGTGCATCTTGCGTGTTTGAACGCAGCTCCAGCAGAAAGCTAAGCCAGCCTGCTGCGCAGGACAAACATCTGGAAGTATTAAAACTCCGATGACTCCAGCAGAATCCGCCTGCAGCCAATCGCAGCCTCATTTCCTGGATGTCCTCTGCCAATCAGGAACCTAGCCAGAGCTGACGGGCTGTCCAGTTGGAGTTTTTCAGGGACAGAGAAAGTAGCGGAAAAGAAGAAAAAGCACTGAAGGGAGAAATTTTTTGAGTTTTTGAAAAGAAGAACTATCTGCAGCAAGTTCTGCACACACGTCAGCATCTAGTTTTTCTGGACTTAAGCAGGTCATACTGATCTGGTTATCAGTTTGGGTTGGGAAGGAAGAAGAAAAAGGAGGTAGGAAATGGAAAAATACACATTCACAGAAGGTGCAGCTCTGCTTTTTCTTGGCTTTTCTCCTCCTCCTTTGTCTTTTTTCTTGCTTTCTTCATCTTGTTGAAGGCATTATAGGAGGTGGTTCACCTTTTTAAAAATTCAAATGCCCCCCTAACTTTTTCCTGTGGTGATCACATGACTTATCAGGATGATTGTGACATCCTCTTCCTTTTGTCTTCACTTAGTTTCTGTAGGTGGCACTATTTTTTGTCTGCACTAAACCAGGATTAATCAATCTTTATTTTTGTATTTTCAAACCAGGATAAAAACAGTTTTGTCTTTTCAGCCTAAAACTTTGGAATTCAAAACGACGTTATTGAGGTTGAAGTTTAAATTTTGTTTCTCATTTCAATGTAGGACACATTAAATTATAATCAGAGGAACTTTTAGTACTTTTAATAATGACTTTTGGTCAATGTAAACACTTTGTTTTCACATTCAACAAGCTGCCCAAAACATTCCTCAGAGAGTTTGGTCCATATTGACATGTTGGTATCACATAGTTGCTGCAGATTTATAAGCTGCACGTCCATGATGTGAATCTCCTGCTTCTACCACATCTCAAAGGTCCTCTATTGAATAGGAGATCTGGTGACTGTGGAGCTCATTTTAGTATAGTGAAGATATTTTCACTTTCAATTTGGCAGTTTGAGATAATTTATGGCTTGTGACATGGTGTGTTCATCATGTCATCAGAAGATGGGTTCACTGCGGCCATAAAGGGATGGACATAGTCGGCAACAATACTCAAGTAGGCTGTGGTGTTTCAATGATGATCAGCTGGTAGTAAGAGGCCCAAAGAGGCCCAAAGAGGCCCGTTCTCTGTAATCCCTGGTGTAAAGGTTGTGTGGGAAAATCAATATAAAATATTCAGACAAGCACATCAGGCACCAACAACCACGCCACCTTCAGGATCACTTAATTCACCTTCAATTCCTATTCTGATGTTCAGGTTGAACTTCAGCAGGTTATGTTCACCACGTCTTCATGCATAAATGCACTGAGGTGCT